AGAGATGGATAGAAATGAGTATGCTTGGTACTAAGTATAAATTTTTGTGCTTGATAGTGAGGTGTCAAATTCCCCTCTACTCATTAAAATCGGGGTCCACATTCACATGAGTTGGGGAGTGGTTGAGAATTGGAATGAGTGGATGAGAATAGGACAACTCACTACCAAACATAAAATTTGTGCTTGGTACCAAGCATACCCAGAGATGGATAGAAATGAGTATGCTTGGTACTAAGTATAAATTTTTGTGCTTGATAGTGAGGTGTCAAATTCCCCTCTACTCATTAAAATCGGGGTCCACATTCACATGAGTTGGGGAGTGGTTGAGAATTGGAATGAGTGGATGAGAATAGGACAACTCACTACCAAACATAAAATTTGTGCTTGGTACCAAGCATACCCATTTTTCTCATATATATATATATACACCCCTTTAAAAGGCAACAATATGATTAAACTGATCCAAGCATAACGAGGTCTCTTAATCATGTCAAATTAACTTCCGAGAATATAAAATGTGTTATTACTAGTTAAAAAAGAAAAAAACGAAAAGATAGGGTTAGCTAACACTCTCAAAATGCACTTGAAAGGAGGCACAGGAGTAGGGCAAAACTAAAATCCCAAGCTCAAACATTTCAAGATCTAAACTCAAGCTTAAAGAACGAACGCCTAAAATCAAATTTAAACTTTAAGCGCATATATCATGAATCACATATCACCACAAAGAAGTGAATCTCGTCCTCAACAACCACTATGGCATATTCTTCATCTCAAGTGAAATGTTCAGGAATTGTAAGAAAGCAGTAGTAACATGCAAACGTGCACTTGAACTAGCAAATGACACGTAACTTTAGAATTGTTTTAAATTGTTTTAGCATATATGTCAGAATTCACCAAAAGCTAACACATATAATTTATTAAAGTTTCTAAAAATAATCCCTCCCAAATACGCCCAAAGTCTAAAATACTTTTGCAATTGCAGATTTATACGTGTGAGGTCTTTCTTCTAAATCTCTATCTTAATTTTGAGTCATCAAAGAGACAAGGTCCCTACATTTTCATTTGTTGTAGTACAAAAATAGTTTATACTTTGTATAGCACAGTCAATATTATATAGATATATATAGACCCTTTTGCTAATGGATTGACGAGTGATACTTGCGTCACGCTCACACCTCAATTTCGATTAGTTTACACGTACTTATGAATTTATTTGTAAATGGTGAAGCACTAAAAGAATTATGGAGGAAGATGATTTGCATTCTGTTTACACACAAAGTACAAACATAGTTCCTAAAATTTAGGAGTAAATTATGTCAAAATAAAGAAATAAAAAGATCTTCCTACAAATACGAAAGTTGCATATAGTCAACATTCCTTGAAATGTAAGTATCCATATATGAATGAGTCAATCATGGATTGGTTAAGAAAATTGATGATATATCTAACGCAATCGACACATAACAACCAACTGTCCACATACACCATAGGTCCTGTTTTAAGGTCAATTTCTCCGGTCCACAAAAAGAAAAATCCACTCTGAAAACAAAATGGATGATTCACAATCCTCACGTTGGAAACAAAACAACGTCCCCTGTTTCTTTCTTCCTCTTTTGGAGCAAAACATAACAAACAACAACACAACACAATCCTCATATCAAAAACAAAATTTGAAGAAGAAGAAGAATTAAGAGGAAGAAAATGGACGAGACCGACGTCGACGATATAATAAAGAGATTGGTGGAGGGGAAAGGGAAGCAGGTTCAGCTCTCTGAGTCCGAGATCCGCCACCTTTGCGTCGCCTCAAAAAGAGTTTTCCTCTCTCAGCCTAATCTCCTTCATGTTCAGGCTCCCGTCAAAGTTTGTGGTCAGCCAATTTATTTTTTATCTATCCCATGTCATTGTTTTGTCATTTTAAATTTAATTTCTCTTGTAATGGGCATTTTGATTTGTATATTATGTTAGTTATGATCGTCTAGAGCCATATCCATAATCGTTGTGTTTTAGACAGTTTTGGATGCATTGTGGTTTGTACTTTTTTTTTTCTTCCTTTTTTCTTTGTTTATGAATGGATCTGCAATATTAACCGTTGAATATATGATTTGGAGAAATTTAGCATTTTAATTGGTTTCACGTAAAGGGTTAGAGGCATTGTAGGAATTAGTACTAATTGAAATTCCCAATTTTCTATGGAATACAGGGGATGAAATATTTTCAAAATGATGATCGTATGTATTTCTCAGAGGAGGTCTTTTCTAGGAATTTACACTTTTCTAATATGAACTTTCATGATGAAACATCTTAAGCTTGCTAGTCTCATGTGCGTATGACCATAATTCAGCTCCAATGAATTAATTCCTGTTATATCCATTGCATTGGTAATCAATGCATGGGATGTATATTATATGATTATATAGAAAAACAGAATGAGTCATACTCCATATGTTCATTTAGAAAAGAAACTTCTTAAAGAAACTAACTCAACTATTGCCCCGGCAATGATTTTATTTCGTTAAGAAAAAACGATGCGAAATGACAAAATTCTTATGGGTAAGCGCAAAAAGCTAGGTATTAGTTAATTTTCATCTCACAGAAGTTATTAGCAAGACCAATACTATGCATTTCATCTCTTTTGAAATGTAATTCTTTCTGTTTAGCGTTTTCCCCATAATTTTACATATTACTGTTTTTCATTAGTTGGCAACATTTGATTGAAATGCTAATGCCATTGGTTTGTACATAGTGTCATATAATACAAATTATTTTATCTACAAAATGCTTAGTAGGTCTTCCTTTTTCATGTTCAATTCCAGGCGATCTACATGGACAATACATCGACCTTCTAAGGATTTTTGAACGTGGTGGATTCCCTCCTAATGCAAAATACCTATTTCTTGGTGATTATGTTGATCGTGGCAAGCGAAGCTTAGAAACAATATGCTTGCTTCTTGCATACAAAATAAAGTACCCTGATAAGCTTTTCCTCTTAAGAGGCAACCATGAGGATGCAAAAATCAATAGAGTCTATGGTTTCTATGACGAATGCAAGCGAAGATTCAACGTTCGTCTATGGAAAATATTCACAGATTGCTTTAATTGTTTGCCTGTTGTTGCGCTTATCGATCACAAGGTTCTTTGTATGCATGGGGGCCTTTCGCCAGAATTGAATAACTTGGAGCAGATAAATGAAATTGAGAGGCCTACTGAGGTTCCTGATGGTGGTCTTCTCTGTGATTTACTCTGGTCTGATCCTGATTCTAAGATTGAAGGATGGGGGTTGAGCGATAGAGGGGTTTCTTGTACTTTTGGAGCTGATAAGCTTGTGGAGTTCTTGGATGAGAATGATATCGATCTTCTTTGTCGAGCTCATCAGGTGAGTAAACAGTGGCGGATCTACAACCTCTCGTGTGGTGGTTCGAAATAAACACTATTTTTTCCCCTCAAATACTATACTAATGGAGGCTTAAATAACAATAGACAAATAGTAGTAAAGAGAAGAAGAAATTTTTTTAAAGAAGCAAAAATAAGGAGAATAGGAGAAAAGTAGAAATATAAAGATAATTCTTTGGCTCATCTTCATCCAAAATAGAATTCACAAATGAATAAATTGAAAGAAAAAGAAAGAAACATAAAATGGAGAACTTGGTTTGTTAAAATATAAAGGTTCAAAGAGGTTTCGAACCTATGACCTCTCTAAACGTAACCAACTCTTAAACCACTAGGCTGTAAATTAGTTTTGTTTACAAACTGATATGTATAGTATATGTGCAATATTTGAAAAATGAGGTGGTTCAAGTGAACCATCTTGAACAAGCATGGGTCCGCCCCTGTGAGTAAATGTCTTCTCATTTCTCTTAGAATTAGTAAACATTTTTTATATTCTAAACTATTTTATCACCATTTACTTCCATGAATCATAGACGATGCTATTTCCTATTTGATTGTGTTACATGATATTCCCCTATGTGACATCTCAACTTAACTGGAAAACTGCATCATTTGTGATTCAGGAGCATAAGTGCTTATAAAGTAGTCCAGATATACAGACATATCATTTTTCTATTAGATTGAGATGTTATAGGAGAAATCTTTGGCGTCACATATCTCTGTAATGAAAAATAAGACAATACATCGACCTTCTAAGGATTTTTGAACGTGGTGGATTCCCTCCTAATGCAAAATACCTATTTCTTGGTGATTATGTTGATCGTGGCAAGCGAAGCTTAGAAACAATATGCTTGCTTCTTGCATACAAAATAAAGTACCCTGATAAGCTTTTCCTCTTAAGAGGCAACCATGAGGATGCAAAAATCAATAGAGTCTATGGTTTCTATGACGAATGCAAGCGAAGATTCAACGTTCGTCTATGGAAAATATTCACAGATTGCTTTAATTGTTTGCCTGTTGTTGCGCTTATCGATCACAAGGTTCTTTGTATGCATGGGGGCCTTTCGCCAGAATTGAATAACTTGGAGCAGATAAATGAAATTGAGAGGCCTACTGAGGTTCCTGATGGTGGTCTTCTCTGTGATTTACTCTGGTCTGATCCTGATTCTAAGATTGAAGGATGGGGGTTGAGCGATAGAGGGGTTTCTTGTACTTTTGGAGCTGATAAGCTTGTGGAGTTCTTGGATGAGAATGATATCGATCTTCTTTGTCGAGCTCATCAGGTGAGTAAACAGTGGCGGATCTACAACCTCTCGTGTGGTGGTTCGAAATAAACACTATTTTTTCCCCTCAAATACTATACTAATGGAGGCTTAAATAACAATAGACAAATAGTAGTAAAGAGAAGAAGAAATTTTTTTAAAGAAGCAAAAATAAGGAGAATAGGAGAAAAGTAGAAATATAAAGATAATTCTTTGGCTCATCTTCATCCAAAATAGAATTCACAAATGAATAAATTGAAAGAAAAAGAAAGAAACATAAAATGGAGAACTTGGTTTGTTAAAATATAAAGGTTCAAAGAGGTTTCGAACCTATGACCTCTCTAAACGTAACCAACTCTTAAACCACTAGGCTGTAAATTAGTTTTGTTTACAAACTGATATGTATAGTATATGTGCAATATTTGAAAAATGAGGTGGTTCAAGTGAACCATCTTGAACAAGCATGGGTCCGCCCCTGTGAGTAAATGTCTTCTCATTTCTCTTAGAATTAGTAAACATTTTTTATATTCTAAACTATTTTATCACCATTTACTTCCATGAATCATAGACGATGCTATTTCCTATTTGATTGTGTTACATGATATTCCCCTATGTGACATCTCAACTTAACTGGAAAACTGCATCATTTGTGATTCAGGAGCATAAGTGCTTATAAAGTAGTCCAGATATACAGACATATCATTTTTCTATTAGATTGAGATGTTATAGGAGAAATCTTTGGCGTCACATATCTCTGTAATGAAAAATAAAATAGTCTAAAACATATAAATATTTATCCTCATAGTACAAATGATATATCTGTAATTAGCCTTTTCTCTTCTTAGGAGTTCAAATAATTCTTTTACATGTTTTATATCTCTCAGGTGGTGGAGGATGGATATGAGTTTTTTGCAGACAAGAGACTCGTTACAATTTTCTCAGCTCCAAATTATTGCGGAGAGTTTGATAATGTTGGTGCCTTATTGACTGTTGACGAGTCTCTTTTATGCTCATTTGAGATCATAAAACCTCTTGAAAAGAAAGTTGTAGGTGAAGGAAGCACACAAACATCAAGATCTACTGTAACTAGTAAGGTAAAAAAACCTTGATACTAATTTTGGTAAGGTGAGATTTTAGTTTTGGCATGAATACATGTAGTTCAATGATTAGGACAATAGTTCAAAAGGTTGAAAGAGAGAAAATTCAGCACACGATAACAATAACTTGGCTGCTAACTCCTCTTCTCCCTCAGCAAATTTAAGAGCCATGTCAGTGGTTAAATTGAGTAAATACCATATAATTTTTTTTATCATGTAAAATTCATTTTGATATGTCCCCCTTCAATCATCTCAACCTAATTGGTTGAAGCTACCATTGAATTTTATTGCATAAGATTATTTCTTATCATACTTTCTATTGTAGTTTCATTCATCCATCTAGTTCGAATAAGTTCTACAAGAAAATTACAGTTATAGAGGCAATATTAGCATTGTCATAATTTGTAACCTGCGAATAATACAAATAGCTAATGTAATTATTCATTAGGCTTTGGTTACTGATTGGACAAAACAACGGTTGCATGAAGCTATTACATGTTTATTTTTTATATTAATTTCCTGTGTGAAGAGACTAATTTGTTATTATTGTCTTTGCCAAGCAGTCCTCTAAGTTCGGAAGTGGCTGAGGATTCTTCATTTGTAATTCTTAATTGCAAGTGTAGCTCAAAGGGGAGTTATACAGTACACCGACCATTAATTCTTAGACAAATTTCTTTTCTATATATCGTTGTATTTGGCTAAGAGCTTCTGAATTTGTAATATTTATTTCTTCATTAAGGATCTGTCAGTTTGATTTCTTTACTACTTTTGTAAATTAGGGATGATATCTACCTTGTACAGAAATGTATGTTCTTCTTTTGTGCATTTTGTTTGAATTATAGCTTTTTTATGAAGTCTCTTGTCTCTCTGTGATTTTCCTCTCCCTTCAATTTCCTTGCATTCTTGTTGATGTTTCATTCTATAACTACTTACAATGTAGAGATTGAATAAAATGGGTATAAAATTACATCCCTCGACTCTCATCAAAACTTTTTTTTTTGAAAAGACAGGTAGGGTAACATAACCAGCCAAGTCCTCAACAACACTCTGTCTCAAAAACAAAGGGACAGAAACAAGCCAAAAACAAGAGGACAAACAGTTAACCGACTTAGCTAGGGAATGAGCAACATCATTACCAGTGCGCCTTACATAAGAAACTTTAGAACAGTCAGTAATAGTCAGACCAGCGCGAACTTCATCTGCAATAGGAGCCAAGAAAGCAAAATGAGAAGAAGAGTCTACCAAGGAGACAACCTTTAGAGAGTCAATTTCCACCACTGAAATCCTCTAGTTCATTCGCCGAACAAAGCGAATGCCTTCTAGGATAGCCAACAGCTCTGCATGATCCACAGACATAGGACCCCTGATCCCCATAGAGTAGCAACCAATCACATGTCTATGGTGATCCCGAATAACACCTCCCAAACCAATAATATCTCCTTCCCGAGGAACAGCAGCATCTGTGTTGAGCTTCAGAAAAACAGGAGCAAGGGATACCAAGCAGAAGGCCATTTGGAAGGGGTGACAATGTCACGAGAGAGACCTCTAACTCTATCCTCTTCCTCCACAAAAACAGAGAATCCGAGTCACCAAGACCGAGGCCTCTCTAACACCACCACCATGAGAGCGCATATTCTTCCCCCCTATATAAACCACATGGTTGTGAAAGCCAAAGTCAGAGAGTGTTGTGCTTTGATACCACTTGTTGTGCGTGTCGGAAGTCAAAACCAAACCGATGTGCTTCGAGAGACCACATCAAACAAACGTCGAGAGAAGGCCAAACAATGCAAAATAACGGCACATACTCAAACAACCAAATTTTAACGTGGTTCGGCAAGTTGCCTACGTCGACGGGGCAAGAAGGGGATGAGGATTTCACTAATAAAGAAGAAGAGTACAAATTGAGATTACAAATTACTCGAAGGAACCAACTAATCTCACCACAAGGCTATTAATCTCTCCAAATAAAACCCTAAACAAATAGCTTAGAAAAATACCTCTTTTCTGTGCTCCAAATATCCCCACAACAAGCCTTAAGAAACCTTAAAATGTATGTTGGTATTTATACCAAACACAAATCCCAAACAGAACAGGAAACCAAAAACAGCCCAAACCCGACTCGCGGTGGACCATCGAATTCATCGCGGTCGACCGGATCCAACGACGGAAACATAGAATCCATTACAGGGTCCCGCGGTCGACCACCGCGCCCCACGCGGTCGACTGTCAAAAATCCAGAGACTTCCCTGTGTATGTGCACGTTCGCAGTCGACCGCAGAGCCACTCGCGGTCGACCGTGCAGCACCCAAAAGCGTTCTTGCATCCAAAAAACTGTTCTGATCCAAATCCATTCGATGTTTCTTCAATTCTATAATTCTCCACCTTGGTGAAGTTTTTCCAAAACTGAGCCAACACCAACCAAACCAAATACCCCACTTGTTGCGTCCAGTATGAAGTGAAACAAAATCATGACAACGGACTCAATTCACAATAAGTCGAGACCCAAATGAGAATACGATCACTCTCTAAATGTTGATATCTACTCACCAAATCGGCTGTATTATAAAATGACTGCCTACGTATCATCTTACCTAAGGAATCAAGCCTTCACGTAGTTCACCCAAATAGTCTCCAAAGGCCCTCAATCAAATAGAAAAGTTTACAACTCTTCATCAATATCACCAACAGTTCTACAACTGATAGTGCTCCCAATGGCCCCAAACTGAAACAAATCAAACACCTTCACCTGAGGTGAACTAATGGCCGTATCCAAAATATGTCCACCAGTTGCACTCGAATCCAAAACCAACTCATCATCTACATCCAAATCCAAATGATCTCCAAACTGTGTCACCTCAGCTGGAATCCCAAATGATGTAATATGATTTGGAGTATGTGGAGTAATCTCTGCCCAACGTGAAGTAGCATCACTCTCCACCCGCTATGATATCCCAACGATCTGATCAACACTCTCCACCTGTCGAGAGTTAAAAGTGACATACCTGCTCAGAACATAATCAGAAGCTCCCAACTAATAATCAAATGAGCCTCTGAATCCTAAATATGCAATCGGATCAAATCTCACATCCTCGATGTGACCAAATGCTGGGCAACCAAATATCCAACGCCAACCAAAATCTGAAGCAGCTCTACCAGATTCAAAATCATCAAACACAACAGTCGGCAACCTATGACTAAGATGACCCAAATATGTTGAAGCTCTAAAACCAAAACCAATGCTCGACAACCAACGTCGATCCCCCTCCAGTAAGGAATGACCCATCACGACTGTCATCTCATCTCGTCGCCCCAATGTCTCCACATCAATGAAGTGTCTAAAACTGCCATGAGCTCGGTACAAATACAAGAAAGAACCCCTACCAAAGCTAGAATGACGGGTTACCTTTCTGCCAATATACTTCTTCTAATTATTGTTGACTTCTAGGACTTCACACCAACGAGACCTGGTTGCAACCCACCAATGCCTAGAATAATCCCCAACTGCGGAAACCAAATATTGATTACCTTCCAATAATGCCTCCTTGAAAGGCCCCCAAATGCCTGACTGAACACCACCTAAAAGACCCCTCGATCGATGGATAGAAGTACCAAACTCTACCTCGGTCTTCTTGCTCATACCAATGTGCTCAAAGGACTTCAATCTGCAGGTCAAAGCACTCCTTAATAAACCATGCACGTCATAACCAATCAAATAACCTAGTATCAACAAATGCCACAGTCTAGCTAAATCCAAATAAGGCGTCAGCTCTCTATCAAATACCATGCTCCTAATCAAATAATACAAATTATTCCTCCTGGCGTCCTTCATCACAATCATGGACCCCAATGTGACCTTCAAACGTGCATCCACCAAGGTCACCCTATAACCTGCTGCCTCCAAAGCTCTAAGTGAAATGATGTTCTTCTTCAACTGAGGAACGAACCTCACTCCAACCAACTCTCGAATCACTCCGTCACTCATCCTAATCCGAACAGTATTGATACCACCAATAGGGCATTCATAATCATTACCCATGAGCATAATGTCCCTTCTTTCTAACTCCTGAAAGCTGGAGAACCAATCCCTCCTAGGACAAATATGGTAAGAAACACCCGAATCCAACATCCATGCTGTAGAGTCGGTAACACAAATTGACGGTAGTATAGATAACGAGTAGTTCGAAGAATCCGAATCTGAATTATTAGCACTAGACTTGACAACATTCACCTCTGAAGCTTGAACATCTTTCCCATTATTCTTCTCGGCTCGATCAACCAACTTTGGACATTCGGTTTTTCAATGTCCATCCTCTTTACAAAAGGCACACTGATTCCTACGAACTCCAAGATGTACCCCTTTAGACTGCGACCTTCTACCACGGTTTGGATTCTTTGCTCTTGTGACCAATGCTTCCGCTACCGGCTCAACTGAAGTCTCCTTATCCTTCTTTCGAAGCTGTTAATTCACAAGTGCAGCGGTGATCTTACTATACGAAAGAGATGTCTTCCCATTAATAAGAGTAAGAACGAATGTCTTATATTCCTCGTCAAGCAATGAACTCAACAATAACAATGTCTTATCCTCATCTTCAATCATCACATCTAAATTCACCAAATTCGCAAGAAGCTTCGTGTAGTGGTTCATGTGATTACCAATAGAGGTCCCCTTCTTCAATTGGAAGCGATAAAGCCTCCTCTTCAAATGCAAGCGGTTCTCGATACTCTTGGTCAAATACTTATCCTCTAGGATCTTCCAAATCTTCTTAGCCGAAGTCTCATTGATCACATCATATTTTAAATCTTGAGTCAAACAAGATCTAATCACACCACACGCCGTTCTATTCATCTTCTTCCAAACCTTCTCCTCAATGTCGTCCCAAACAAGATCTAATCACACCACACGCCGTTCTATTCATCTTCTTCCAAACCTTCTCCTCAATGTCGTCCGGTTTCTCATTCAACTCTAATGTATCCTCCAAATTTTGTGTGCTGAGAGCATCCAAGACTTCACATCTCCAAAGTCTAAAATTGTTTGTGCCATTAAACTTCTTCACGTCTATCTTTATAGAGTGGATATTCAAACTTTGGACGGTCTTCACGCCAGAAGTACCCTCCACAACTCCTTCTTTCTTGATCATCTTTCTTAAAGTACCAAAACAAATACAGAACAAATAAAGAATAGATACAAAACTAAAAAAAGATAGAGCCTTTACCAAAAAGATCCCATCTTTATCACCAAACGAAGCCCTAGGTGAGCCTCCAAAACGACCTACTCCTCCAAATAGCCCAAGCGTAGCCCGAGCTCTGATACCACTTGTTGTGCTTTGATACGACTTGTTGTGCATGTCGGAAGTCAAAACCAAACAGATGTGCTTCGAGAGACCAAATCAAACGAACGTCGAGAGAAGACCAAACAATGCAAAATCACAAACTCAAACAACCAAATTTTAACATGGTTCAGCAAGTTTCCTACTTCCACGGGGCAAGAAGGGGATGTGGTTTTTACTAATAGAGAAGAAGAGTACAAACTAAGATTACAAATCACTCGAAGGAACCAACTAATCTCACCACAAGGCTCTTAATCTCTCCAAATAAAATCCTAAACAAATAGTTTAGAAAATACCTCTTTTCTGTGCTCCAAATATCCCCACAACAAGCCTTAAGAAACCCTAAAATATATGTTGGCATTTATACCAAACACAAATCCCAAACAGAACAGGAAACCAAAAACAGCCCAAACCCGACTCGTGGTCGACCGCCGAACTCATCGCGGTCAATCAGATCCAACGACCGAAACATAGAATCCATTGCAGGGTCCTACGGT